GAGAGTGAGAGAGAGAGAGAGAGAGAGAGAGAGAGAGAGAGAGAGAGAGAGAGAAGTCGCATCCTCAAGCTGCATCGTCGATACATTTGTGCGTACATGTAGGTATACACATGGATATATATATATATATATATATATATATATATTATATATATATATATGTATATATGTACATATATATATTCTAGGTAGCACTTCGAATCGTCGTTCCACGCCGTTACGGAAAGTGCATAGTGAAAGGGATCGTAGAATTTCAACTGAAGTGTTAAACATATCTTACTTTGTAAAATATATCGCGTAACAAAGAAAAGGAAAAGAAAGTAAAAGAAAAGAAAAAAAAAATTCAGACTTCATATATATATATATCTTTTCCTTTTTTATCACGAATGTAACAAACGCATCGAGATATTCTCCTGTTAATTAACATTTGATCAGACAAATATTTAACCAGCAATTGAATTTCATCAACGATCGGATAAATTAACAGTAGTGTAATTAATATCGATATTCGTATCGAATGAAATATTCGTTTGTCTTTATCGAAATATAATCTCTTTTCTTTTGTTTTTTTTTTTTTTTTTTTTTTTTTTTATAGAACTATTATCATTTATCTTTGTAATGGAAGAAAGAGAGAGAGAGAGAGAGAAATAGAGAAAGAAAATAATATATTCGTATCTACTACGTATATACAAATAGTATAGTGTTCTCTTTCTTTAGCTAAGCAGTAGTCACTATGCTAAGAGTATTGCACAATAATGAATGCTCGCTTCTCGCTAGTCGTTTGCACCACGTTACCTTGCGTTCCTATGGTTTAATGCGTAATGTTTTATGCTTTATATACTGCGTAATAGGTAGCTCGCGAAAGGTAGCACATTTTCTCGTCTGGTTTTTTTTCTTTTTTTTTTTTCTTTTTTTCTTTTTTCTTTTTTTTTTTTTTTTCTTTCATTCTCTTAACCTTGAGCGTATACTTATAAAATGTTTCTCAAACGCGATCACTTGCGATTCGATTCATTAATTTCAACCTATTCTTCTTTTTGTTTTCTTTTCTTTTTTCTCTTCTTTGTTTTTTTTTTCTTCCCTTTTATTCTTTTTTTTTTTTCTCTATATATCTCGAATATCTTGAAAAAAACGAGATACATGAAATATTCATTTTTGAGAGTTGTTCACGAGAGTTCATTATTATAGATTGATTCAGATGTTAGCGAAGTTAAATATGAAAGATGGAAACGAAGTGATCTTAGGTATCCCATTATCGTGAAAGCACGTGCGATTTCGGTAGAGTGTTTAACGTTCAGAATGGAAAAGGAAAGAAAGAGATGGAGAAACTGTCTCGAGTAAAATCAGAGACTCGAAACTAACGGTAGTTCACTCTTTCTCTCTCTCTTACTATATTTGTATATGTGTGTGTGTGTGTGTGTGTTATATGAAAACAAAATTGAGAGAGACAGTGAGGAAAGCTTTACTTGAGATTTGAGAGGACGTCGAAAGTTTCGACGGATTCTTGAGAAAGGAAAGAGCTCGGGCTCTTAATTATCGCGAATGTCTACGGCTCGTCGCATAGAGAGACGAGAGACGATGGAAACGAAGTAAGGAACGAAACGAAGGTGATGGCATGCGAACGTGTGGGCGTTCGTAAAGGTTGCGCGTGAGAAGAGTAGACGAGAATGCTTACGAAGTAGAAGAAGAAGAAATAGAAGAAGAAGAAGAAGAAGAAGAAGAAATACGAGGAGACGAAGGAGACCGACGATGAGGAGGTGAGATTGGAGGAGGAGGAGGAGGAGGAGGAGGAGAAAGATTGTACGCGTTCGAAGACAATGGGAAAGAGAGGTTTGTCTCCGCGGATTACAATGCAAAACTTTTCGTTCGTAAGCGAACGAACGGACTTGGCATCGAGCAAAGTCTTTAACCACCGCGTTCTTCTCGTTACGTCGACGAAGAAATTCTAATAGTAGAACATCTCCAAATCTCTTGAAAAGCTCTTCTCTTTGTCGCTGACATACTCTTACCCCCATTACTTGATATCATCTTGCGTTACACGTAGAATTTTATCTCGTATTTTATTTATTTTTTTGTTCTCTTTTTCCTTTGTTCTTTTTTCTTTTTTTTCTTTTCTTTTTTTTTTTTTTTTTTTTTTTTTTTTTTTTTGTAGAAAAAATTTCTTTTATTTAATTAGATCGATCATCATTTACATTAGAATTATATAACAATGGGATATTGGATATCTCTTTGTATGTTCTTTACATACAAAGTATGTGTTTTTGAACATAGCGATAGCGATCAATGAGGAAAATAGAGAACTATTTTTTCTTTGTTTTTTTTTTCATGTTTTGTTCTGTTTTGTTTTTTTTTCTTTTTTGTAATATACCCACATATCTACGTTCGTATTTCTCAAAGCACATCATTTTATTATCTTTTTACATTTACTCGACATGTGTATACTCAACGAATACGAAACGCGTTACGGGACAAAGGGAAAACGACGAGATATAATAACGCGACGAAAGAGGCAGAGATGTGTAGTCGTAGTCGTAGTCGTAGTCGTAGTAGTAGTAGTAGTAGTGGTAGTGGTGGCTTCGAGTTTCCGAGCAAACGAATCCCTAGAACGAAATATGGCCGATGCGGATATCGAAAGGGAGAAAATTTGTTCGACGCCGAAAAGAGAGGGGGGAAAAAAAAGGAAAAGAACAAAAAATTCGCGTTTTCATCGTAATTCGTTTAAGAGGGTAGATATAAAAATAAGAAGAGAGAGAAAGGAAGAAACGAAAAAGAAATTAAAGAAAGAAAGAAAAAAAAAAGAAGAAGAAGAAAATACGAAAGAAAACAAGAAAAAGAAAGCTTTTGCGATTTATATTTTATAACTACGCGTATACGTCATTCTGGTAACACGAATTAAATAAAAAAAAAAAGAAAAAAAAAACAAAAAAAAAACAAAAAAAAAGGAGAAGAAAAAAGAAAGAAACAGGGAAGGAAAAAGAGAAAGAAAAGGAGAAAGAAAAAAATATTCTTGCGTATGGTCAGAGAGAGATTTGCATTCGTTTTTACAAGCAAAACCATCGGTGCCGTGCTGGAACGCGAAAGAGGACGATCTCGTCGGATACGACGACGACGACGGCGACGACGACAACGACACTACTACTACTACTACTACATTACTAATACTACTACCACTCTGCCGTATCGGACAACGTTGGCGATAGTAGTACGTGCGACGAGCCATTTGCATTCCCCTATGCCAATTCGAGGGAGGAGATACGAAAAGCCTCGACGTGGCGCCGAGCTATATAGTCAAGCTATATAGCTGTGCTTCTATCGCACCCCTCGTTAAAATCCCGTATATGTATTTATGTATTCGCCAGTAATTCAATACACTCGTAACCCAACTCCGATTCTATATCCCAATCCTGACTGACCGTTCTAGACACCTTTTTTCTATATATAGGGTGAACCATTTTATATTTATTTATATATTTATTTTCTTCAGACACGATTGATCAATTTTTATGAGTCATCCTTATGTATATATTTTGAAATTTATTTTTCTTCTTTTATACCGGATGTTATATTCCTGTCTGACTTCGAATATTTCTAAGAGTCTGATATTTCAGATCTTTAAAATTCATAGACGACGATAGCAGTCGGCAATAGTTAATTCGATTTCTCATTCTGCTTTCCTTCCTTCCTTCCTTCCTTCCTTCCTTCCTTCCATCCTTCCTCCCTTTCCAAGATTCATTGGAGATAGTCATGGTTAGTTCTCGACGTGTTTACCATCGTCTTCGCTGTTGTCGTTGTCGCCGTCGTCGTAGTCGTCGTCGTCGTCGTCGTCGAGGTGACAGCAGAGTTTTCCTTCGATATTTGCGATTTATTACAAGATCGAAAGTAACTTGCTCGAGGAGTTTCATTACACGTACATATTTTTACTGTAACCCGAGAAGAAGCCGATCGGATTGCAAGAACATATCATTTTGAGAATGTTTAGAAAATGAGAAAAAAGAAAAAGGAAATTTTTTTTAAATCAAATATTAAATTTTAAATGATACGCGTGTGTTATTTTCTTTCAGATATTTTTCTTTGTTTGTTTGTTTGTTTTTTTTTTTCCCAAATCCATTTGTAATCCCTTTGAGTTTGTCATTGACCATTTCAACGAGATAAAACAAATGAGTATATAAATGTTGATCGTTCGACGTTAACAGAATCTGATTAAAGCTGGGCGTAAGCTCAAAGCCAAGCATCTTCTCGTTTCTCTATTCCCTTTCCACGTTGGAAACTTGAACGGCACTTCGGCTCGTCCAGCCATTTAGTTCGTTCGTTCGTTCCGGCGACGATTATCCATTAAAATTCATGCGTCGAGGATGACTGTCTTCGTGGAATCGGTTAATTAAATTTATCGTCCTTTTCCTCTTTCCATTTCGTTTAGGATGATATTCGTATTAAGGGAATGGTCAAAGAGAGAGAGAGAGAGAGAGAGAGAGAGAGAGAAAGGATGATATATTCGAATCTTTTAATTTTCCTTTGAATCTATCGTCGGTGTCTTTAATAACAAAGCTTTGATCAAATAGCTTGCATACTTTTGTCATGAAATACTTTAACAATCGTTCAAGTTGAAAAAGTGTCTTGAGACACGATGACTACGATGACGTATCTCTTGAGTAGGTACTCCTTTCTACATCGTTTATAAAAACTTAAAACAAGTGGCGTATCGAGATAAAGTAAAACCAAGAGAGGAATTATCATTCGATCGAGTATGATCGTTCAACGAGCTGGAGTTAACGAGGGGGCAAAAGATACAGAGAAAGAGACAGAGAAAAGGAAGAAAAGGAAAAGAGAAAATAGGAGGATGAAGAGGAGGAGGAGGAGGAGGAGGAGGAGGAGAAGCTTTGTTATTAAAAAAGAGCTCTGATTTTTCCGTTGTTATCTCATAGAGAGGCAAGCCGAGAGCTTAATTATAGCTTTGCTAAGCGATTATAAAGGCACGTTGAAATATGAAAATAATTTACCGTGGTGGTTGTGGTGCTAGCGATGGTGTTGGTATTGGTGATGGTACTGGTGGTGTGGTGCTAGTACTGGCGTCGGTGCTGCTGTTGGTGCTCTGCGAAGCCAGCCCTTTTTCTCTGCTTTTCTCCTTTACACGACGAACGAGTACGTAGAAAGTGTGTGCGCGCACAGGAGGGAAGTAAAAATACATAACGTGCAGATATGCGGTACATTGCGCACGCCAAACGACTCGCCATACTCTCCACCCCTCTTTTACCCTCGTCCATCCACGTAGACGCGAGGTCACGCACGTTCACGATTTCCTGAGCAAATCGAAATAATCCTTCGTTTCGTTTCGTTTCAATATAATTCAAGATATCGAAATCTCCTCGCACTTTAAGTTGTTTAGAAAATCAGTTTGAGATTAGAAGGGTTTATAATGGGAGAAGACGAGGTGGACGAAGGGGAACGTCCTAAAGACGTGGAAATTCATGGAAATCCACAAAAGCGATTTGTCTGAGACATTTTCTCAAGTAGAAAAGCATGAACGTTGGAAAAACAACGTTGGGAGGATGCCTGTCTCTCTCGTCGACACAGAGCCCTTTTCTTTTTCTTTCTTTTTTTTTCTCGTTTTCGTCTCCTAATTTTCTTCCCCCCCTTCTTTCCTTTCTTTTTTGTCTTTTTTATTGTTTCTCTCTCTCTCTCTCTCTCTCTCTCTCTCTCTCTCTCTCTCTTTTTCTTAGATCTATAGAAAGAATAAGGAAAAAGATAGTTCGTTGAGTTGAACAATTCAACGAGTCTCGACATTTACGAAAGTGCTTTCTGATCGGTCGATTTCTCTCAAGTGGAACCAACAAATATTCTCGAAACGCATCGAAAAGAAAGATCGTCCCTTTATTCGACTCTCCTATTCCTTCTTCTCCTCCTCCTCTTTCTTGTTTCTTTTCGCTCGACTTGACGCACATGACACGGACAAATGTTCCTTCGAGAGAAGACACGTTTACGATTCGCGAGAACTATCTGATCGGATAAGTATAATAAGAAGAGAAGATGGAAAAAAGAAGACTTTTTTCAAATCTTTCCACGAGAGATTTTACAGTGAAAACTTATTGTAAGTAACTTATATACTTACATACATACATATATATATATATATATATATATATATATATATATATATATATATTATTTTTGTAATACATCGTTCAAGCGTCAAAGTATTTAGATAAATCTTATATAGGTCATTAATTTTCGTAAGATAAAAAATAAATTTTATCGGCAAATTTGAAAGGATTAATCTTGTCGACTTTTCCTCCCTAAAGCAGGTGAAAGCTGGGTTCCTCTAATTTATCGTATCCATAGCGACCGAAGCTCAGGTGCTCGAAATAACCCCCGTTCTTTTTAAGAAAAAAAAGAGAGAGAGAGAGAGAGAGAGGGAAAGAGGAAGAAGAAGAGGGAGAGAGAACGTGCAATACTCCTTCCTAGCCTGGTTAAGACGTAATTGGTCGGAGCTTTACGTACGTTCAACGCGACCAAATTACAGAGGCTGGCCGCCTTCAAGGCAATTGCTTCTCGCGAACGATTGGAAGTAGAAGTTAGAAGAAATAGAAGAAGAAGAAGAAAAGGAGGAGGAGGAGGAAAAGGAAGAGAACGAACTCGTCATTGTTTCTCGATCTAGTTCACGATTAATATTATCGGCTAACGAGATTACTTTCTACGGGGTTAGTATCACCCTCTGTAGTGTTCCTGTTAGAAAAAGAAAGAGAGAAAATCTCGAAGAAAAACGTTGATAATAACCACAGTGAATTATCGATCGAGTCTCACCGATCTCTCTCTTTCTCTATCTCTCTCACTTCTTCTTTTCGTTCTCTCTCTTTCCTTCATTTTGACGATAGTACTAGAGCGTAGAGCTTACACAGAAGCTTGCAAGCTTCGCGGGGATATTATTAGCTCGATGGTATTGCTTCAGGGTGGCAAGCTTATGCGAAGGAGAGGCGCCTGTTCTCGTTCATCCGTGATGCGATCGTTCACACTCTCTCGCACATAGTCATGGCATCAACGTCTATGTAGAATCCACCCTTTCTCTCTCTCTCTCTCTCTCTCTCTCTCTCTCTCTCTCTCACTCTCCCTCTCACTCTCTCTTTGTGTGTGTACGTGTGTGTGTGTCTTACTTCCGTCCTTTCATTTACCACCTAATCAACATCTTTATTATTTAGGTGAATATTTGAAGACACGTCGGTTCTCATGTCGTAGGAAAATCTTCAACTTATTATCGATTAATCGATCTTTTGTCACGAAATTATTTACAATAAAAAAGAAAAAGAGGAAAGGTATAAGCAAACAAATGTATCGTTTTAAATGCATACACGCATTCTCTTTGCTTAATTGCACTGCCTCTGTCGTATAATGAATTTATTTCGATGGATATCGTGCAAATGGACCGATCGATTTTAAGTGATAATCGTATTATCCAATGAACTTTACCTTCGTTCTCGTTTGTCCAATTACTCTTTCTCTCTCTCTCTCTCTCTCTCTCTATTTATTTAACTATATATATCTCTCCTGCTTTTACCTCGTTCGTCTCATTTTTTCCTTTCTTTCGTTTTTGTCTTTTCTATTTACTTTTTCTTTTTTTTCGTTTTTTTTTTTTTTTTTTTTTTTTTTTTTTTTTTTTTTTTTTTTTTAACAAACGACATGCCTGCGAATATTTGGTATCAATTATAGGAAAATTCGATGATGATTTTCCAGAGTGGAATTACACGAATAACGTGGAAAAAGTCACTTAGAGAATAATAGTAATGTGACTAGCAGTGAAATCTCATCATTTCCTTTACCTTTCTTCGAAACGACGTGAATGAAATAAATATAAGAAAGAAATCTTAATAAATATATATGATACGAATGTAATCACAATTTTCAGTCGAAATATTTACGACGAATTTTCTTTGAAAAATTTCTCAAATTAATTCTGAACGAGTAAATATGCTTTATTAAGTTAAAATAATAATACATATCTTTATTTTTTTTTTGCGTGATATAATATAAAGTAAAATCAAACTATTTGGTTAATGATCAAAACATCTTCGAGATGGGGGAGGTGGGGGGGGGGGACGGGGGAGAGGAGATGATAAGATCTATAAAATTAATCACATTTAAGAGTTAATCGAATTAGTTAGAGTAAAGAGTAATTAGTATAAAAATCGAATTCATGGAATAAATCTGAAAGAAGGCGAAATCCGAGAGATTTCTGCTTAAGAAAATCTTGCGGCCAATTCTCCTTTTGTGTTCTTTTATACGCACACGCGTGGTTGATTGCTAATAGAAAACACTTTTAAATATACATTTATATATATATATATATATATATATATATATATATATATATATTTTCGTCGAGTACATAAGATAGAAGAAAATATCCATCTTTTCTTAGTAATCTCGAAAAAGGAAGTTTCATCGAAATGACAGGCATGATATTACTTGTGTCCTATATTTCTAGGACAACGAAGTACCTAGCAAGCTAGCTGTCGTCGTAAATTTTCTTTTAAACGTTCCTCGGACAAGACTTAATAACAGACTATACGTATAACGCTATATTCTTGAGAACGTTATGCGAAAAGAGTAGAAAAGGTTTTTCTATAGTAACATTTGACGTAACCATCTCGATTTATATTTCCATTGGAATCATTTAAAATTCTTAATGGCTCATAGAGATATCGCTAAATAAATGAAACGTAGAAAGGAAGACTTGAAAATTTTTGCGTGAAATCGTGCTCACCAGTTTTCATAAATGACAAAGAGAGCGAAAGAAGAATCCGTTCGTCCAGTTTAATAATTGGTTTTATGTAACAGGTGCTCGTTAGTTTCTCGTATCCGTGCGTGTTATCTCTTACCTGTAACAGAAACGAAGGTCAACGATCGGTTAGTCATTTTAATTAGTTGATGATCGAGGTCAATGTAAGTTACGTGTTAAACATACAGAAACGAGATCGTTTCTTTTATTCTTTCGTTTCAATTACAATTGTTATTGAAATTTTTTCTACTAGCTGACGCATTGATAAAATATAAAAAGAGATTAGAAATTTTTTGGAACAAAAACGTTTCGCCCATACGTTCGTCGTTTACGACGAGATCTACAGGTGTCACGTTACGCTCTAGCGTAAATTCAATCAATTTTTTGGGGCTTTTTTTTATAACAGTATTCGAGATTTGAAAGAGGGAGAGAGAGAGAGAGAGAGAGAAATCACCCGTCGATTCGTTACTCTAATATAGATAGAACTACGGAATGAAATATTGGTGGTAAAGCTGAGAAAATCGATGCTAGTCAGAGTTTTACTTGGGAATCTTTCATAAAGATATATAAAGTAACTAAAGTTTATGAATATATCTATATAATATCGTAAAAGAGAAACAGACAGACAGTCAAACAGAGAGAGAGAGAGATATCTTTATTTGAAAATGGATATCTTTGCATATTTAATTCACTTCCCTTTTTTTGCTTATCCAAGGATATTTCTTTTAGGAAGTCCTACGACGACATCGGGAATCAAATTCTCGCATCGTCGCGTCCGTCTCTCGTTTAAGATACTTTGGGGTCTATTAGCAAGTTTCGAACGAGTCCCAGGAGGTACTGTCTGCTACGGAATGTTTCTTTCTCTTTCTCTCTCTCTCTCTCTCTCTCTCTCTCTCTCTCTCTCTCTCTTTCTTCTCTATTATGCTGTGAATCGTAGAGAAGAAATAAAAAGATGTAGGGTAAAGGCGGTGGATAAAGAGGAAAGGGAAAGAGGAGTCGAGGGAAAAGTCGAGAGTGGTTAGAAGAAGAAAAAGAAAGAAGTAAAAAGATAGATAGAAAGAAAAAGAGAGAGAGAGAGGTGAGGAAGAAAATGGAGATGCGGTGGGAAGGTAGAGTTTACCAGCATCCTAGGAGGGTGCTGCACCTGTCCAAAGTCCCTCATCTTATTACTTCGACAAACTCTTAAATACTCCGAGGGCCGAAACTTTTAAATTCCAATAAATATTTAAGTTTTCTCGCATTTCCCAAGCAGCACCGTACGCCCCAGGTAATACGTCGCTTTTTTTCCCTCCCTTTTTTCTCTTTTTTCTCTTTTTTCTCTTTTTTTTTCCATCTTCTTCTTCCCCTTCTCCTTCTTCTTCCTCTTCTTCTTCTTCTTCTCCTTCCTTCTTTCTCTTTATTCTTAACCACCGGATAGAGAAACGATGAGCAAAGGAATATCTTCCAGAGGCTGTTTTTCTTTAATTCGCTTCGAGAATTTCACTTTGATCCAGTACGATTGTATTCAGCTGAATAATCATAGTCATTGTACAATATATAGTTGAATAGAAAAAGAAAGAAAGGAAGAAAATGAGAGAAATCGAATCGACAAAACGAATTCATTTTTAAGGGCATTCCCAAGTTGATACTCGACATAGTCGATATTAATAGCTCCAGCGTGTTGTTAATAATTCACTTGGAGGTATACACCAACGACTACGATGGTTATTCTTTTACTCGCTTACAAAGTTCATTAACCGTTTAAAGAATGAACGAACGCATTTTCGTTATTTTCATGAATTTCTCGTCGTGTGTTGGTTATATGAAATTTTTATAGGATTAAAAATTCCAAAGGGACGTCTACATAACGTAATTTTATCACGCTTTTGTTTAAATGATGTCAGTCATTTTATCAAGGTTCCAATTCAATCAGTCCTTTTCATTATGAACAAGGTTTCAGTTTTAAAAGAATTTTTTGTGATTTCAATTTTCCTTTTTTATACTTTTTTGTAATTTTTATTATTTTTGGTTTTTTTTTTTACTTCTTGTAATTTTTTTTTACAATTTTTATTCCCCCCCCCCCCTCCCGCCACTTATTGTTAACGTCCGATCGATAAAAGAAGGAACGACAAAAAAATTTCAAATCGTTTTCAAAAACTCATTCATCTCTTTTTTTTTTTTCCTAGGAATACATTGGAAATTGTTTAGCGTAGAACGAATATTGTATAATTTCATATATTGCCAATCTATCATTTATTTTATATGAATGAAATAAAATTTACATAATTATAATAAAAATTTTAATGATCTCGTTATAATCGTATCGTTATTACGAGAGAAAAGAAAAAGATTCAATTATAAAAATTATTAATAAAAACAATTTTATTATATCGATATTATTGCAAGGTTTAAATAAATAAAGAAAAAAATATGCTTTAAAACGGTACTTGATTCAAGTCTCTACGATTTTTCGTTCCGGAGATATCGCCTTTGAAAGACTTCATTCATTATTCGTATAGTACAGCTGTTCGTAGTAATAGTAATAGTAGTAGTAGGACCGCGTAAATTCTCGGAATTTATATAGGTCAGTGTGTCACCGAGTCAATTTGAATGAAATTATATGGATCAATGGGTCAATATAAACGCTTTTCATTTAACTGGAAATATCTGCGGAACTAAAAGTCATAGAGACTTGAATCGAAGATCATTTTAAAGAGCAAACTTTTTTCTATTTATTATCGTATTGTTAATAATTAATTAACAATTTGTTATAAACAATTTGTTATAAACAAATTCTTACGAACTAATTTCATCTCATTTAGCCAATACAAAATTCAGATTGCGATCAACTTTTAAAATTACATAAATAAATAAATAATTAATAAACAAATTACGTTTTTATCTAAAATACAATCTTTTTCTTTTTTTACGTGACATAAACGTAGAACGATGATATAAAGTAAACGCAGAATAATGATGCAAGATAAACTAAGAAACCATCACTCTTTATTATTTATTTATTACTACATTTTAATCTGCATAATTGTTTATCAATGTTTAAATCGAAATATAAACGAAATTAATAATTTTTCGATGTACAAGATATTAATAATTTTTTTTTTTTTTTTTTTTTTTTTTTAAATAAAAAATAACGAGTTGCATCGATCGATGCATTCGAAAACATATAATTACATTAAAAACAAAACAAGAAAACACAGTTGATCTTTGTATGTCTATATCGTACGACTCTTCTATACGAAGTTTCTTCGTATCTCGAAAAAGAACGAAAGTATTCAAGGTGAGCAAAGGTATTGGCCCAGTCTGTATATTTTGAGAGCGTCAAAACGTGTTTAATAGCAGGTCTGGAGCCTCTCGTAGTAGCCACATTGCGTGTAGAAAGAGGATTTTGCTATAGTTCGACCCAATTACGAAGCTAGCTATTAGGGTTAGAAGCTTTAATAAAAGGCTTCGGTTCTTTTCAAGCGATCTTCTTGAAATTTACTGTTTCTCTCTACACCGGGCACATTCGTTCCCGTCAAAATATCCGAAGGATTCGAGTAGATTTTAAACGACCACACGTTCTCTACTTTGTCTTTCCTTCCTATATAATTACTAGCTATTTACTTTACCTAACATTTCGACGAGCTTATCTAGCACAAGTCTAGAGACGATTTAAAGAATTAAATAAGAATTATTTAATATATCAAAATAAATAAATAAAATTGAGTTTAACGGTTCTTTAATTTTTTTCTTTTTATTTAAATCTTAACGATTGAAAAATACAATAAGCTGCTTTTTAATATGAATTTCTATTGGCACCAAAGACAAGTAAATACTTACCTACACCTTTCTCTCTCATCCTCTTTATTATTACCATGCGACGATCGAAAAAGATTTTACTAGATGCTAGGTTGTTTATTGGAAAATCATTTTCCGTGCTCGTAACAGCCGCATAGATCCATCGACGATCCTCCGATGTAAGGGCGACGCTCGCTCGTTCTACTCTCTCTCTCTCAAACGTTTTTCATTTTATCGTCTCTCTATCTTTCTCTTCCTCCCTTTCTTCCTTCCTTCCTTCCTTCCTTTTACCCTTTCCTTCTCTTCCTCTCAACCGATCCATATTTTTCCTCGGAGGAATTTTTCTATCTTTTTCTTTGCTCATAGGATGGCTCCATGCATTTGAGGCCCAAACGATCGGCTTCCCGCTTCTTGGTACGGTAAAGAGGGAACGTATTCGATAAAAAGCAACAAAGACGATTCAGTTTTCTCTTCTCTTCTCTTCTCTTCTCTTCTCTTCTCTTCTCTTCTCTTCTCTTCTTTTCCTTTTCCCCTTCCAGCTCAATGGAAAAATATGCGCTTCCCTCTCTGCTTCCCCTTTTTACTTCGTCTTTTATTTATGCGTTGTTTTCCTTCTTCTTTGACCTTTCTCTGACCCATACATAAATACAGATATAGAAGATACATATACCGAATACGCGAGAACGCACAGGCATAGATACAGGAGACACATTGATTCCTTAACACGTTCTCGTCGTCGTCATCGAGAAGATACAGAAGTGTTATAAAATCAAACGAAATCCTCAAGCTTCCTATAAAAATTCGAAATCATTCTTCTTCAACGGGATCCCCTACCCCCATCCCCTATCCAACTTTTCCCTCTTTCTTTCTTTCTTTCTTTCATTTCTTTGTAACTTTGAAAACTGACGATCTAGTCAGCTAGACGGAGATAGAAAAAGTTGAAGTTTTCCATGAAAATCATCATTTGGAAAGTAGCCAGGGAAGTAAGGTTAAGAACCTTGGTTATACGTTGCACACGATATTTATACGCCAGGCGAAACTGTTTGTTCTCGCCTACTGAAAGTCTTGCTGTAAAGCAGCTTACAGCATTTTCCTGAAAAATATACGAGGAACTTGATACCGTCCTAGGTCCGAGCTGACAAACATTGGAATTTAGATCGAATTCAATGGTATACGTGATCTTTTATGAGGTCGTATATAAGTTTTCGACAATTTTTTTTTTTTTTTTTTTCTTTTTCTTTTTTTTCCTTTACATCTTTCTCTCTTTTTTTTATATTTTCTTTCTTTTTTTTTTTTTTTTTCTTGTTTCTGTTAACAAGTTGAAGTAATATAAACGTCGGCACTGTATGCTTTCAGACTTTCATTTTATTTATTAACACGCTTGGTTCCAAGTTCAGAATGAAATAATGGCTTTACGAAATAAAGCCACGCTTATGTGGCATTTTTATATAAAAAAAAAAAAAAAAAAAAAAAGTATAAGACAAAACGCTGAACTATTAATGCATACGTTAACAATGCATACCGGAAGGCAACTGTCCCTCTCTTTCTCTTTCTCTTTTTCTGCCTTTAATCATACACGTCTGGTATCGTTATTTCAACGAAAGCTTGCAGTTACTATCCTTTGTATCCTTATATAAACTTTACTTTTTATTTTTCACGATATTTGGTCCATTGGGATTGCGTTCGGATCTTTGTATGCAACTGTTTTAGCGGACAAAGAAAAAAAGAAAAAAGAAGAAAAAAAAAGAAGAAGAAAAAGGAAAAAAGATCAGTCATACACACATACGGAGGGAAAGGTAAACGAGCAGCTCGTTAACATATCTCGCGAATGTGTCAAAAGCGTAGGTTGTCTCATTAAAATAATTCGTCAGAGAATTTCTGTAACTCGTTCATATTATGATATATATATATATATATATATATATATATATATATATATACATGCATAGATACATACATACATACGTACATATATAATATATTATATACGTACGTGTATTTCACGAGGTAAAGGAATCGTTTCGTAAGTTCCGAATGAGCAAAAATTTTAATTTATATTTTACGCCTACTTAGAGATATTCGAATATTAAAATAAATGAAATTAATTTATTTATAAGTTAATTGTATAATATTTTTCATGCATATAGGAATACGATAGACATATACAAGTATACGCGTCTACGTATAAACTTTTTTTATTTTTTAATGAAAATGAGAAAAATTAATGGAAATATTGAATATGCCGTTAATATAGAGAGAGAAAGATATCTCGAGAAAGAGGATTATCATAAATATTTTCGTTGAATTCCATAAGAACTTGAATATATTCTGATCAAAAAAAAAAGAAAAAAAAAGAAATATATATATATATATGTACACTTAAAAAATTTCTCAGTGGTGCTTTTCCCGAGGATATATCCCTAGTATTATCAACGTCGAAGAAAATTCAGTGTCGCGTTCGTCCGATCTTATTCGACGTCTGAAGGTAATCCGCCTAGGGTCTTTCGAAGTTTCGTTTCGCGCGTTTGGCCTTTCGCTTAGGGTCGCGCGAACTTCTCTTAAAGGACTTTTCCAAGGTACTGTCTTTCTCCCTGATATCTCTTTGTTAACATCTGGCATAGTTCGCACGCGATTTCCGTTTCTATCTTTCCTTCACGATTTCCTACGATTTCCTTCTTCCTCTTCTTCTTCCTCTTTTTAGAAGGTCAAGGCGAGGACTACTTCCTTCCTTTACCGGGCCCATCCTGAACGATCCAAATTGCAACTATGGACGAATGCAAAGCACGCGATTTTCCAATGTAGTAAAACGCGAAGATCTCTACTTTGTGATTTTTCCTCTATCTCTCGAAATTGCTGCTCTACCAGATGAGAGAGAAAGAGAGAGAGAGAGAGAGAGAGAGAGATAGAGAGAGATTGCTCAAGGTAATCCGATGGACGGGTTACGAGAGACTTTTCGATCGATTTCGAGTTGGCTTCTGAAAGATCGAAGGACCTATCAGAAGCGTGCATTCGCAAAGTTTCTTTCTTATCTTAGGACCGTAAGTCTTTGCGGTTGTGGTAACAACCTTACTCCTTCTTTTCTTCTTACTTTCTTTCTTATTTTATTTCTTTCTTTTTAGAAGATCATTTCTCGTAGAACAGATATTCCTTTAGAACGAGGAAGAAGAAAAGAAGAAGAAGAAGAAGAAGAAAAAGAAAAAAAAAGAAAAAGAAGAAGAAGGACGACTTTTCTCCGTTATCGACGATATAGATCGGCCTCGATCGTCGTAAGAATTGATCGATCGATAGTACAAACCAAGGTACTTTGGCACGTTCCTTAGTCGTCGTTCTTAGCCAATATCGAGAGAAATTGAGGAAGGAAAGAAGGAAGGAATGAAGGAAGGAATGAAGGAAGGAAGGAAGGAAGGAAGGAAGGAAGGAAGGAAGGAAGGAAGTAAGATTCGGGCCTCGTGGAAGAGAAAAGAGAAAAAAAAGAAAGAAGAGAGATAGATAGACCGGGTGGATGTGCAAGGGAACGGGGAGTGCGGGAAAGGGGGGAGAAGAGGATAGAGGAAGGGGATCGTATTGGTAAGGATAAGGTAAAAGAACATTACGAAGCCACGTATAAGCTCGTACGCTTTGACCATCGGCATTTCCGGGGATGGCGCGAGGTGAGATCCGGTCGCTTTTATCGAGCCACTCTGTCCTCGTGAAAGCCCGGCCACCGAGAAAATTCTCTCGACATTTCCGAGGAGCAACCGATTCCATTCTCTCTCTCTCTCTCTCTTTTTCTCTCTCCTATCCGTTAGAGAGAGAGAGAGGAAGAGAGAGAGTCCGTATCGCTTTCTGCGTAACCACTTTACGCGATAATCGATTTCGCCCACGATCGCGTACGTGCACCACCCCTTTTTCTTTCTTCTGTCCTTTCTTCCTATTTCTCTCTCTCTCTCTCTCTCTCTCTCTCTCTCTCTCTCTCTCTCTTTCTCTCTCTTTCCATCGGTTCTCTATCCGTTGAAAGCGATTCTGCAGTGGACGTAAAGACGTCTTTGAAATATTCTATCCATCCAAACTGCTACGTGATTTCGTCCTCCATTCGAGAGAAATAATAGTTACTACCCTTTATTTTTTAACAGTTTCATCAAGATTGACAATAGTATAATTCGATTGATTATCATGTTAATGTCTATGACATTCTCATATTACGTTTTCTTGGAAATAAGTTCTTGATGGATATTTCGAAGTTTAAGATGTTCAGGATTAGAAAGTTATAAATTATTTTTTTTCTTTTTTCCTTACCAGGAAGATCTCGTCACGATCTTTGAATCATTGTACGTGCGTGTGTATGTGTGTATGAAAGAGAGAGAGAGAGAGAGAGAGAGAGAGAGAGAGAAGAAAGATTTAAAGGAAACGTGCTTAAACGTCACAGCCGTTCTTAGCTTATAACTTCTTTCATTTTTTTTCTTGATCTCTCTCTCTCTCCTCTCTTTCTCTCTCATACTCACGTCGATTTCAATGACTCTTAGAAGTTTCTTCGAATCTTCTTTTTATCACTTCCCCTACCCTTTTTCTCTCTCCTTTCATTAATTTCAATTCGCTATCAGAAGATGAGGAGTTAACGTATGTGAGAGTAAAAATTATGACTCTTCGTGTCCCTTATTTTTTCTCTCTTTCTCTCTCTATCTCTCTCAGTATGTGACATATAATATCAAAGACATTTTTATTTTCCAAGCGACCCAACGTACGTTGCCTCGCGTTTTAAACGCGTTCCTAAATTTTATAACAATAGCTCACAAAAAAGCCAATTTCCGAGCGTATAGAACAAAGCGCCCAACGTCGTCTCTTTTCTATTGCCCGCCGGCCTTGGAATAAGCCATGAGAATGAGAGCTTTCAGAGCGGAGAACGAAACGCACCATTTTTTCATTTTGGTTTGATTTTTTTTTTGTTTTTCTGTCGTAAAAAAATTTTATTAATTAATGCACTTGCACTCTCTCTCTCTCTCTCTCTCTCTCTCTCTCTCTCTCTCTCTCTCTCTCTCTCTCTCTCTCTCTCTCTCTCTCTCTCTCTCTCTCTCTCTCTCTCTTTTCTCTATATCTCTCTCTTTTGTCGTTAAAATAATTAGAAATTTGTCGAGTCTTCTTTGAAAACAAATCTTTCCATTTCAGTGTCCTGCTTTATTCTTAATTCATCGAATTATTTTTTACGGAATGTTGAAATAATCAAATTAAAAATATTATGATAAACATGATAATTAAATGAGATATTTCAAAATTTTGAATTAACAATCAATCCATATATCTGAACGTTCTATTTTCGATCATCGAATTATAAATATTTATGGAGAATAATGATAGAATCTAATTAAAAATAACTCAATAAAGCATGATATAATGTATAAAATATTTTGATTTTTTAATTAACAATCGATCTTTTATCTTCGAATATAGTTGATCAAATTATTAATACGGAACGTCAACATCATCGAATTAATGTTAAATATTATCAATATTTTTCATATTTTTAATTGATACTCGATTCTTATATTCGAATATATTGAATGATATTATTTAATTTGTACGGATCGATAAAATAAAATCTCACGTTTAAGTGGTAACATAAATTCGTAGAAGTAGGATCGTTCTCATCAAGATCTATTTGAACTCGTTCGATCACGAAGTAGTAAAGGAACTTGTGCGATAGAAAGAATTTGTATTCTTGTTCGTCAAGTAGCTCTACTGTAACGATGCCGTTTAAAAGCTCCTTTTCTGTTCTTTTCCTCTCGTGGAAGACGTGTAACGAGTTGGGCACGTGAGCCTCGCTACGACGCCTAATCACAATGGTTAGCGCGATTGCGATCGTCTAATGACTGAAAAAAATTATACTCTTGTTAAGGAATACGCGATCGTACTTCAACAATCGACTTTTTCCTTCTCGTGCTGTACTACGGTCTAGTACGATTAATTTTCTTTCCACGTGAAAAACTTTTACTCGCAAATTATTTTCTGTGTATATATTTTTCTCTTTTCTTTCTAATTTTTCCTTTTTTCTTTTTTTTTTTTTTTTTCCTTTCTTCTTTTTACGTTTAATCGTACGTCAATATATATTACAATAAAACGAATGAATAAAAAGATTACGATTCCGAAAATAATTATAATTAAATAGTGCCAGTATAATGTGAAAATTATTAGAACGAATAATTCATCTGAAAGGATAATTGAGATTTGATTTCTTTTTCTTTATCTTTTTTCGCCTTTTCAAGTCGTCAAAATAATTCAATAATCGAGTAAAAAATGGAATCACGAGTGATTTACAAGAAGAGACGTTAATAAATCGTTCCTCTTTAGAAATCAATCGAGTCTCTTCTCGCTCTCTCTCTCTCTCTCTCCCTCTCTCTCCCTCTTTTCTTTTCTTTTTTCTGTCCCTCTTATTCATTTTAAGAAAGCAGAGAAAGACAGAACTTGGAATATTTGACTGGAAGTGTTGGCGGAAGTGAGAATATCGTTATCGTTCTCCGCCTCGTCGTCGTCGTCGTCGTCGTCGTCTGGGTCGTCTTCGTCGTCGTCTTCGTCGTCGTCTTCGTCGTCGTCTTCGTCGTCGTCTTTCTCGAGTAATCCCGATAAAAGGCGGCCAGCCGAGTTTGCCGTACTTTGAATAGACCCACGGTGACAAATTAAATGGGCGGTAGAAGACAGGGCCGACGACGAGGAAACCGCTAAGACGACGAAGCGTAAGAAAAACGAGGTGTGTGCTTGCATGAGTGCGTGCGTGTGTGTGTGTATGAGAGAGAGAGAGAGAGAGATAAAACAGTAGTAATAGCAATAGTAATAGTAATAGGAGTAGTAATAGTAGTAGTAGATTTTTAGTAACGAAAGACTCGATAATATTTATAAAGATGTGATGTCGAAAAATTCTTACGACTTTTCTTAAACTTTTAGCTTCGCAAAAACGAGAAAAAAATTAAGGGAGAACGATATAATAGTAATAATAATAATAATAATAATTATTATTATAATTAATAATAATAAAAGTAAATAAAAAAATAGAAGGGAAAGAGTAGTGATGATAAACTTGCAACTTTAATTACAACGACGACGCTAGTGGTAACAATAAATGAAGAACGTTAATAGCGACTTATCGATTCCCAGAGGCACGTTACACTATCGAAACATTTCCGATAACCCAATCGTGAGCTCGTTCGTTTATCGTACAACTCGTGCATTTCATCCCCCTCCCCTGTTTTTTTCTTTCCTCTTGTCCCTCCTTTTCTTTTTTTTTTCTTTTCTTTTCTTTTCTTTTCCTTTTTTCTTTCTCTTTTCTATCGTCCGTCTCGTTTATCGACATCGATCGTAAACGTTTAGCACCTTCCTTTGACCACGGAAAAATCGTCGAGAAAAGTTAATAAAAAGTTTCACTTTTGTATGCTTTACGAGCGCTCGAGATAGATCGAGATGTATTATAATTTATTCCTTCGGTTCCCGTACGAACGTTTATCATCCAACGATAAATAAGAGAATTTTTGTTTTTTCTCTTTTTCCTTTTCTATTTTAATTTTTCTTCTTTTTTCCTTCTCCCTTTCTTTCTTTTTCTTTTCTTTTCTTTTCTTTTGT